AGGAGGGGGAGGAGGAGGGAGGGAATTTTCTGCTCTTTCCTCCTGGAGACAATGCCTCATCCCCACTGATGTCAGACCGCAGCGACTTCTGAATTCTTCTCGGCTGAGATCACTAGTCCTGGACCCTCACAGAGCTCTCCTCCTCGCAGCTGAGAAGAGCAGTCAGGACTCAACGCGGTGACTGGCTCTCATTTGTTTCGGAGAGTCGAGCAAGAGACGCAGAGCCGACGGTGAGGGTAGGACGGAGGACCTTACGCTGTGCTACCTGCCACCGCCACCCCTCCTCCCGGGCATCAGCGGTTGGTGGAGAATGGGCGTCTGGGCATTTCTAAAGCAAGAGGAAAAGCAGTATTTGTCAGGAAAGGCTCTGTGATGCTGTTACAGCAAAACAGAATCGCCGCCATATGAAAACCTGAAAGTCATCTGGGGTGGAAAACCTGTTCCGGCGACGGTTGTAAACGCCTCCCATCTCCCTGCCTCTTGCCACCAAGGGAGAGGAGAGAAAACACCAAGCGGAGATAGAGAAGAGAAGAAATAGGGGGACAGGCAAAATCCAGAGAGGCCTTTTAGATATAACACATCAGAACAAGGAGAGATGCACAGGGCTCCCAGGCTCCCTCGGCCCCTCCGCGTTGGCTCATTCACCTACTGCAGCAAAGGCCGGCTGGCAGCGATCGGTAATGTAAGTCCAAGGCACTCCCCACCTGAGCCGAAGCCTTCCTTGCCATCTCCTCTCCATCCCGCTGAGTTCCTGATCCTCTAACTGTGGGTTGTTGGCATATATGTATCGCTTAGTCATTCAGTAAGCTTTATTGAGGGTAACATTTCAATACATATGAAGCACATTCCACAGCCATTAATTAATTCACCTGCTCGTCAGCAAATCCTGCAGGATCATGATCATTTTTGTCTCTATTCTGCAGCTCTGTTACACTCAATACCATGTAGTCTTTGCTTAATACAGAGCCTGGACCAAAGGCAGTGAACATCGTGGATTCTCAGTTCGTATATGTTAAATGGAGACCCTTCTGTCCTGGTAATGTGAAGTTAGGAGAGAAGGGGACGCCCCATGGTGCCCCATGGAGCCTGCTGCGGGATGTGAGCGCCCGGGGAACATTCCACGCCCTCCAGGGGCCTTCTTCTGGAATCGGCAAGGGACCGAGCAATCTCTCTCCCTTCCTTGGAGAACCTGTCTGCGGTGGGAAGCCACAGGAGGGCAAAGATGACACATCTGTTTGGCTCAGGCTTTCTGCCTGGTTTCTTGTTAATCAAAAGAGGGGCCAAAAGCTTTCAAAAGGACAGGAAGGTGAGCCTGGTCACTGTGCTCAAGTAAGTAAACAGGAATACAAATCTTAGCAAGCTTTGTGCTTGTCTGGTTATCTGACACAAACTTTTAGATGTCAAAAAAGAACCTCAAGCGTCCCTAAGTCCAACCCATCACGAAGCAGCGATCCCTTCGATGGTACCAGGCTCCATGAATCGGCCATCCTCTACGTGCCAGGCGTGGCGCCAGGCACGTTACACGCCTCAGCTCTTTTCATCCCAGCAATAAGTTTATGATGCAGGTCTTAGGAAACTCGTTTTAAAGAAGAGGAAACTGAGACTCCGATGGTTAAGTGATTCCCCGATGGGGAGGAGACTATTATGTGATACTGTTGGTGCTGGCAGCACGCCAGGCTCTGACGCCCTGGAGGTTGGGCTAAAATATCAGCTCTCCAGCTTCACACTGTGTCACCTACTGTAAATCGCCTTACAGGGTTGCTGTAAAACTCAAATGGGATGAAATATTTAATAGATGCTCGTGTCTGTATTAGCTCTGTTCTCAAAAGTAAGGGGGAGTTAAGGAAAAGCCTGCGAGGGGCGGTGGCATTCCAAACCAAGAGAACAGTGGATAGAGAATGTGCGTTCAGACGACTGCGGTTTTGAAAGCAACGGGAGGGCAGCAGGTGATCAGGCTGCAAAGAAAGTAGAACCCAGGTGACGAAGGGTCTTGTGTGTCCCTGTAAGGGAGCTGGACTTCATATTGAGAGAGGCGGGGAGCTACTGGAGAATTTTAATCAAGCAAGTGAAAGTCGTCTTTTAGAAAAATCATTGTTTAGAGACACAAATACTTTTTATCCATTTGTCCGTCCATCCATCCATCCATCCATCCATCCATCCATCCATCCATCCACCCATGCATTCAAAGAATACTTATTGAGTGCCTCGTTTGTGTCAGGGTTGGCTAGTCCCAGAGAAAACAGAGGTTTCTAAAGACACAGTCTCTGCCCTCATGGGGCTTCTAGTCTAGCGACCAGCTAGGAGGCATCTGTGCTAATGCAGACAGTGAATGCACAGCTGTGCCTTGGAGAAAGCGACATCACAGCAGATGAGGAGCAATCCGAGCCCTACGGAGAACATCACACAGATGGGAAATTGATTGCACGTGTGGTGGCAGGGCAGGAGAAAGGCCGAGACAGGAGAGAAACTGAGGACTGGAGAAA